CTGCCATCCATTCCTGGTTTGGTTGGAGGCAAACTCCGCCATCCTCTGTGATAGACGTCATCTACCTATATGTAAAACTGTAGTATTTTCAAATGTCAAATGCAATAATTGCCAAGGAGTCAGCTTGCATTTACCTGTCCAGTAATGAATGGGCTTATATTCTGATGCTATATGCTAATCCTTGCATAGTTGCTGTGCCTTTTGATTGATCTAGACCAGCAATTTATGCAGCTCAAAAGGAATTTTGCCTGTTCCATTGAGTTCATGAGTATCTTGAGCTCAAGTATTCAAACTAAAGTTTCTAACTGAGCACACGACCTACTAGGTTGGGAAGGATTATAACCATGTTATGTTTTGTCATCTAGACTTCAACAAGGAGAAGCCTTACAAGTGCCAGGCTGTACATCCAACACCTGATGACATCTACCTTCTATCGGGAACCATTAGATGGACCCCCCCCCACTGCTGCTGTTACTCAACTGCGTCCCCTCTCAGCAGGAAGCAGCCTAGATCAGACAACTACGGCCCCTTTCCTTAAAAGCAGCTGGGTTCAGTCCTCTGTTTGGATATATAGGAGCCAGATGGGATGATAGGCAGTTAGGGTCTCCGGTTCCTGGTGAAACTTTCTTGTATACATGTAACCCCTTGGCACTGAGAGATTCTTGAATGTTAATATTTTCGACAATGCTTGTACATTGTTACTTGTATTACTAAGTATGTTACTAAATCAAAGATTTGATTAGTTACTTGAAAGAGGGGGGAATGAAGAACCTAGGCATTTTCTGCCTTTTGTGATTCTGCCTTAATGGCTTGGCTGGGGGCTGTGTGAACCTCAGGCCTGATAGTCTACGTGACACCTGGCAGGTCAAATAGGCAGACCACTCCTCAGGAAGGAGGTACCTGGTGTTTGATAAGATTCACAGCCCAATAGCTCATTGATTTGTACTTTTTGAAAGTTGCTTGTTTCAAACCCACCAATAGAAGCCTACTAAATCATGACTGTATAATTAATAGCCTGAAATGTATAAGAACTGGGGGGCTTGGGCTCTCGCTCTTCCCTTGGCTCTTCTGGCTCGCGCTTCTTTTGTCCTCCTTGTGGATCCTTGCAGCCCAGGCTGCAGCTGCTCCTCCTCTGCCCAGCCATGCTGGGCTGGGGGAGGTTGCTGGGTTACCTAGGCTAACCTGAATAAACCACCATTTTGCCTCAGCACCAACTTCAGACTTGATGATTATGTGGGGGTTTCAAAAAACCGGCACAACACATCTTTCTGAGATGAGCTCTGTCATAGCACAAGCTGCTGAGCCATACTAAGAAGCTCCTTCAGATGTATCTCTGCCATTCTTGGATTTGAGAAATTCTCCATGGCCATAGATTTGGCTTTGCCTGCCTCCTTTTCCTTTCCCTCCCCACAGTTAAAATTCTCCTTCAGGCAGAAATGTAGGAAAGCTTTTTGCAGCACAATGGGGAGAAGAGAAGAGAACACCCCTTGACAAGTGACTCTGAGTGTGGGGCTCTGCAGCAGGGGCACACAATCAACAAAGGGAAGATGAGGTATGAGACTGAGGAGACAGAGCCTACTGATTGAACCATCAAGAAGGCCTGAGTCCTACTGTCTCAGTGCTTGGTCAACACACTGCATGTTTTTCAGTCCCGGGTTTCAGGGCTTCTACATGGTGTGTGTTATAAATTTCTGCAGGACTTTGTCTACTCCTAGCTACAAAATTCTAGTTGATCAATACCCTTTGCATCACCTGAGGACATGCAGTCCCAGGGAGCAACCATTGCCAAAACCACAGACTCCACAACTTAGCAGCTTAAATTAGCAAAGATTTTAGGGAGGTAATGACAAAACAAGAGGACATTCTTTAAGAGATGGAGAAAAATGCATCTTCTGAGATACTATTTGTGAATTTCAATTGTTTTTGATCCCATTTCTGTTGCTTCCATTTTCCATGAATTTGTGGAATCACCCTCATATTTTAGTATTATGACTATTACCAATTTGTGCGTGCAAGCTGTGGCATGCCTGCCTGTGTGTTGTAGGGTGTTTTGACCCCAAATATGGTAACAATCTCAATTTCTGTCTCGCAGGTGTTGTGCCGGTTTCTGAAATCCCCAGATAATCATCAAGTCTGAAGTCAGTGCTGAGGCAAAAAATGTTTTATTCAGGTTAGCCTAGGTAACCCAGCAACCTCCCCCAGCCCAGCATGGCTGGGCAGGGGAGGGGCAGCCACAGCCGGGGCAGCCACAGCCGAGGCTGCAAGGATCCACAAGGAGGACAAAAGAATCGCGAGCAAGAATAGCCAAGGGAGCCCATGCCCCCCAATTCTTATACATTTAGGGCTATTAATTATACAGTCATGATTTAGTAGGCTTCTATTGGTGGGTTTGAAACAAGCAACTTTCAAAAACTACAAATCAATGCCCAAGCTTCTGCGGGAGATAATGCAGAACTGATCTGAAGTCAGGAGCCAAAATTCTTCCAGTTTTCCCATGTGTTTTCAGGATCCCAAGGCTTTGGGCCTTCCTGAATTCTTTCCCGGGTCACAAGCAGGGAGTCGAATGGAAAGCAGACGTCCAGGATAGAAGCTGCATCAATATGGGATCTGGTCGTGTGCAAGCTGAGGACTTAATCACACCAGGCCACCACACCAGGCACTAAGAGATTTCTGTTTTAAGATGAATATTTTCCTTGACAAAGTAGATTTACAGAGAGAAGGAGAAGCAGATGGAAATGCCTTCCATTAGCTGTCTCACTCCCCTGATGCCCACAATGGCCAGAGCTTAGCTGATCCAAAACCAGGAGCCAGGAGCTTCTTTCAGGTCTCCAAGTGGGTTCAGGCTCTCATGGCTTTGCACCATCCTCAGCTGCTATCGCAAGCCACAAGCAGAGATCAGGATGGGAAGATGAACCTCTGCAATTTTATGTGTCTCCAAAGGGGATCCAAGCCTTTGTAAGGCTAGGACTTAGCCACTGAGGTATTGTGTTGGACCTTGGGCCAATTGTTGTTGTTACTCTTGTTATTTTTCTGTAATTTGCATGTGCACTTTCTTTTCCATGTGAACTTTCACACTCACTGAAACTCCTATACATATCTCTTTAAAAGATAGATTGGTATTGTGAAAAAAAAAGAAGGGCAAACAGAAACAAAGAAAAAATAAGATTTATTGGGTTCCCCTCATTTAATACTATGCCTACTGATAGTGGTTGCATAGCAATCTAATTCCTACCTGTGGCTCTGCCATAACTTAGAGGTGTTGGTTTGAATCCTGGCTGTTCCAGTTCTGACCCAGCTGAGTGCCAATGCACCTAAGAAAGCAGTACCAAATGGCCTAAGTGCTTGGGCTCCTGCACTCATATGGGAGACCTGAAGAAGCTTCATGCTCTGGGTTTCAGTTTGGCCTAGCCCTGACTGTCAAAGTCATTTGTGCAGTGAACACATGAATGTAAGATCTCTGATTATGCCTTTTGAATCAGCTTTTTGAGAGGGTACACACATATATAAGTGTATTTATACATAGTATGGATGTATATCTACATCATTCATATCAGCTTTGTATCAAAAATATACAGATATACACATTCCAAAATTCAGAAGTGTTGGGAGGACATAAAAGAGATCCCAGTTTCTCTTAAGAAACCAATCAGATGACAAACATTGGAGTTGATGGATAGAGCACCTAACCTACTCTGGCCAAGACATCCAGCACATGCATCAGACATTCACCTTCTCCACACTTTCAATGTGGCTCCCTCATTATGTGTGGATGAAAGCAAGATAGAAGTCATCAGCCTGGTCACCAGTGTGCCGGTATCTGTGGGTTCTCCTGGAGCAGTGACCTGAGAGAAGGCCATGTTGGACTTTTACCAGATGTTTGATGATGATGATGACAGGATGGGCAGGACAGTAGGTGGAGGTATAGAGAAGATTAGAGGTTGTTGTAATAACCCTGAGAGGAGTGTGTGGTCTTGCAGCTCCCACTGGAAGAACCCTAGGAGAGGGAAAATAGCTCCTATATGGGGAATGGAATGACAGATGATTTGAGAGCAGCTGGAAGATTTGGGTGCTGGCATCAAACTCAGCAGTACGGGATGGTGTTCAGCAAGGGATATGTGCGTGTGCTGGTGAACAGCAATGACTGATTGGAGCATGAGCGATTGGCCCTGAAGCCCTGGGGACCTGAGGAAAGACACATTCTGCAGTGTCCCTTCAGTGCCACCAAGACCACAGTGACACAGCACTGGGTGCCATTGTCCTCACCTCGGAGCAGGTTCCTCCCATAACCATCTCTTGCTTAACTGCAGCATAATCTGCTTCTTCAGCCCCAGGGACTCTGAGACAGCAAGCCCAGGTATCCAAAGTGTTGTTGTAAACTTCCTCTTATTGTTGTAACAGTGCCACAAACCCTCCCCTCTTCATCTGTGTTTCCTGGAGTAGTAAGCAGTTGCCAAAGGGTTGCTTTTTGATTGTTCATGTGTTGTATGGTGAGCCACTGTAGCACTTTTTATTCGCATAAGACTATAATGCAGTGTTGTTTGCACTGATAATGGCCTTTCCTATGATTGGCCCTTTGCCCAGATTGGCCTGACTTGGTGACCTTTATACTGATTGGATATGCTTGATATATAAGCTTTGAGCTTTGGGGAGGGGGATTGGCTTCAGCTTAATTGTATTAACAGACATAGTGTTTTTAACTGAAGGTCTGAAACTTGTGCCTCTGAGATGCTCTCCAGTGAGGGGTGACTTTTCTGCAGGAGAGGACACGCTGATGAGATAGCTAGCAAAGATGGTGTGGAGCTCCAGATGGCAGGAAACTTGCAGCCTTGGGTGCTGCTTGTGTTGGACCAACAGGCATGTTACAGCACTGTAACTTTGGTGGATCATGACCTCAACCCTCACTCTTGCTTCACTCACCTAAGGTCAGGCGATTGTCAAGGTACAGGGAGCATCCTGATTGGTTGCCTATGTGTCCTCATAGGGCTCTGTTGTTGTTCCAGCCATCCACTCAGCACCTGCCTGGTCATAACCAGCCCAGAATGCTACAGCCTCAGCATTCTAGAAATTCCATGGCGACAGACAAGCCCCTTTCGGCCTGGACCAATAAGCGAGCAGGTGGCTCAAGATTGACTTTCTGTGGTTCTCACCAATGTCCTTCTGTCACAGCCCTCCACACACACACACACACACACACACACACACACACACACACACACACACACACACACACACATACATCCCAACAGGCCCTACCAGGAAGGATATCCAGGTTTCCTTGAAGCCAGTTGTCCATGAGTTTATGGGACTTGGGTGTCTACTGACATGGAGTGTGCCAATTTGCTGAAAATGGAGTGAAGCCCAGGACTCTTGCAACACTGTTACCAGGAAAGTGTTTCTCTCAGGTTGTTGTTTCAATGTCATTCTCTTTAGAGTCATATAGGCAGAGAATTGCCATAGCCCTGTGCCACAATGGGGAGTCCTTAAGATATTATATGTGGGGGCACTGACAATTTCCTGCCCTGAGATTGGCCCTTTGCCCAGATTAATGTGCCTTAGTGGTGTTTAAGTTGATTGGAGAGGAGTGACATATAAGCCATGGGCTTGGGTGGAAATTGGCCCCTGTGTAATGAAATTAACGGACATAACGGTTTTAAAGGAAGGTCTAAATAAATTGCTTCTGAGATGCTCTCCAGTGTCAGATGATTTATTCCGTGGTATTGGAGACCATGATAACTGGTGCTGTGAGTTTGATAGAAGTCAACTGGTGCTGTTACTCAGATCAAAGTTAACTGGTGCTATGCCTCAGATAGAAATCAGCTGGTGAGTACCAAGAAGTTAAGATCACTCAGGGAGCCACATACAGTGGGAATTAGATTCCATCTGAGCCTTTTGCTCAGGATGCCACGCTGGGCGGTGGACATGCATGTCAAGTTCGCAGGTTTAGTGACTAGTCAAGATCGAGCATTAGTGATCAGTCAAGTTCATGATTTAGCGACCAGTCTAAGTTAGCGATTTTGCAACAAGTCAAGTTACGCACTTTAGCAACAAGTGAGGTTCACGGTTTGGCCACCAGTCAATTTTGCGGGTTATCAACAAGCAAAGTTGTTAGAAATATGGCCAATTTAACTTCTTCAGCTCACATGCAGCCTTTATCACCAAAACTGCTGACAGTACTGTAGTTTTTGCAAACTGTGAAGAGGATGACCCCATGGTTTCTGGAGCAGGGCCTTTTGAACCTGCCAGAATAGGAGCACTTAGACAAAGACTGATCTAGGACAGAAAGATCCTTTAATATCTAATTTGTCCATTGCTCTACTGTGGCACTCTCTACTTTGCTGCTATTTATGGCTATAATTTGGGATCTTAGTTCCTAAGTCAAATTATAAGAACCTGAAGATTACTTTCTTTCACCTCAAATGTCATGGGAATCAATTGTAGAATGCATACCAGCACAGCAGTGCTGGAGCCATTCCAATACTGGGTAAGGGCTCACTTAACTACAGAGCAATTCAAAAGGGTAACATTAACACTCATGGAAACAATAAACATACATGAATTGCATTATAGATAACATCACGACTGCAATGAACTTTAACATCTTCTTTCCATATTCTAGAACTAGTACTACTATAATTACAGTTTTTTATCACTACCTTATCAGTAAATGCAAAAGCTGATATATGTGAACACCCACCCCTACTAGTACAAAGTACCCAGGCATTCCAAGGCTGAGTAGAAACAGATTGAACAGGGTTACCATATGTTTACTTATACCCCAAAATGTTTGAATTTGAACAGGTAGGAAACAAACTGGTGACAGCAAGACCAGGTGCTACTCTTCTAAGATTCACAGTACTTTGACAGGCAGTCCATTCTGGGGGCCATTTCCAAGGCCCTAGACAGTGAGGCAATATTTGCCACACCCTTTCTAGTGCCATTATATTTGCTGTTCGGGCACAGTCGGGGAACTGATGCAGTCATAACCATTGCTTCACACTGGAAGGGGGCTTGCCAACACTTTCACTATTGCAATTTTAGCTGGAGATTCTGGCTATCTCCTCTCAGTATCTGAATGAACATCAGGCTGGTCAGCATTCACCACATCCACAGGTTCTTATTACTTGCATCAGACATTCTGGCACCCACACAGGTCCGTCAGAATCCTGTGGAAAAACACAAATCACTCCTCACATCCCTCATAATACCGGATGTGGGCCCATCCATCATTTTGTTAAAACATCCGCCCACACCACACATTCTTTGCAAGGGCCTGCACCAACAGCGTGGCATTTGGCGGCAGAACAGGTATCAAATCCAAAATCAAAAAAATTAAAATAAAAGTTACTAAAGTCAATTTATGTTTAGGACTATAGGGATATAGGTTGGCTCCTACTCCCTCTTTTTGTTTTATTAAAAATGCTAAGAGAATTGCATGGGCATGCCTTACCGTAGCCTGGCCTGAGGAATTATATGGGATGCCAGTGGAGTGTTTAATCACAAATTCAGAACAAAACATATCAAATGCTTTGGCTGTATAGGCAGGTCCATTATCAGTCTTATAACACTGGGGGACACCTCAGGCTGCAAAAGCCTGAAGGAAATGAGATATAACATCTTGAACCTTCTCCCCTGTATGAGCTGAGACAACAACAACAACAAAAAAAAAAAAAACAAATGAACAAACAAACAAAAAAAAACACCTAGAACAGGTATTGATAGATTTGTGTGTGTGTGTCTCAGTAAGTCTTTCTCACCTTCCTGTATAAGGACTCTGAATTTATCAGATCCATCTGGCAGGCAAGACTTAATCGATGTCCAGAACCCAAGCATTCCTGGAGGGAGGGGATCCTGCTGTTCTGCCCTAATTAAGTTTCTTCCTATGTGCTCCCATTGTGGCAGGGTCAAAAGGCCCTCCTCCAGAAACCACAGGGTGATCCTCTGCACAGTTTGCAAAAACGACAGTACTGACAGCAGTTTCAGCAATAAAGGCTGCATGTGCACTGAAGAAATTATTGACCGTATATCTACACATTTGCTCGTCGCTAATCCGCAAACTTTACTTGTTGCTAAAGTGCAAACTTTACTTGCTGAAAAACCAATAACTTGACTTGTTGCTAAACAGCAAACTTGACTTGTCACTAAACCATGAACTTGACTGGTCACTAAACTGCGGATTTGACGTGCATGCCCCCCCAGCGTGGCTTCCTGAGCAAAAGGCTCAGTTGTATACTAATTTTTTATGTAAGTGGCTCCCAAGGTGATCTGCTCAGCTGCTTACCTTCATGGAGCTCACCAGCTGACTTTTAGCCAAATCACAGCAACAGTTATCAAGGTCTCTTGTCTTTTGGAAGAAATTATCTGACACTGGAAAGCTTCTCAGAGATGCTTTATTCAGACCTTCCGTTAATACCATTATGTCCATTAATTACATTATGCTGAGGCCCCTACCCCTCTCAAAAGCTTCTGGCTTATATATCAACCCTATTCAATCAGCTTAAAAATCACCAAGGAATGGCAATCAGGGCAAAGGGCCAATCACAGGGCAGGCCATTGTCAGAACTTACAACAATGGTTTATACTCCTAAGTGAGTCAAATCTCTACAGCAGCTCACCCCGCCACACACATGCATGCCCCAAAACACCCATTGGCAACTGGTTGCTACTCCAGGAATCCAGGTTATGTGACAGTGTTTGGTATGTATCAGACCCCAGAGTTGGAGCACGCTAAGCAGGTCGCCCATTTCATACAAGGGACAGCCCCAAAGCAAAGTCTAATCATTCTCGTGGAACTCTGTTCTACCCAGACGAATGTAGTCTCAATGGTGTCTCAAAGACTCTCTGTTCTGGCACAGGGCTTTGGCCATTCTCCGCCTACATGACTTTAAAGAGAATGACAGTGAACGAAAACCTGGGACAAACACTTTCCTGGTAACAGTGTTGCCAAAGACCTGGGCTTCACTCTGTTTTCAGCATATAGGCATATTTCTACTTGGGAGATATCCAAGCGCCACATACTCATGGACTGCTGGATTCAAGGGAGGCTGGATATCCTCCCTGGTAGGTGTTGTGGCGAAATGTGTGTGTGGGGGTGGGTGTGAGCAGAGGGGCATTGGGGAAAGATTAACACAAAAACAGGGCTTGAGCCTCCTGCCCGCTTCCTGCACCAAGCCAAAAGGTGTCTGTCTGTCACCATGGCTTTTCTAGATGCTGAGAAATAGCATTCTTGAATAGATACGACCAGGCTGCTGCTGAGTGGGCAGCTGATACAGCGACAGAGCCCTTTGAGGTCACAGAGGGGCAGCCAATTGGGATGCTTCCTTTACTTGGACAGCTGCTTTTGCTTTGGTGAGTGAAGCAAGAGTGAGAGCTGAGGTAACAGCCCAACAAAGTTGCTGTGCCATCACCAGCCTGTTGGTCTAACTCATCTGTCCCCCTGCCTGTGTGCTTCCTGTCATCTGGTGCTCCACATCATCTGTGTCAGCTGGCTTACAATCCTTTGGGTGTCAAAGAGCTACAAAGGACCCCCTAATCCTATATCGGCCTTTGGTCCTGCTTGCTATTCCAGAAATGGGAGGTGCAAGACAGCTTCTGGCATGTTCCTGTTCCCCATAGTTGAACCTCACTGAATAGGGTGCCCACTTCATACAAGGCACCACCCCAATGCAATGTCAAGCCATTCTCATGGGTCACTGTTCTCCTTAGATGAGTGTGGTCTCCTTAATGTCTCAAGACTTCCCCATTGTGTCACAGGGTTTTGGTCATCATCTGCCTACATGACTCTAAAGAGAATGACAATGAAACCACAAGCTGGGAGAAAGGCTTACCTAAGAACCCTGTTGGAAATGTTGTGGGCTTCACTCCGTTTTGAGCAAATTGGCAAACTCCAGCCAAGCCCCATATACTCAAGAACAGCTGGCTTCCATGGATTGAACATTCTCCCTAGTAGGGCCTGTGGGAATATATTTGTGTGTGTGTTTGAAGGTGAGCAGAGGGATTTTGGGGAGAAGACCACAGAAAGTAAAGCTGGAGTCTGTTGGAATCCGTGCTGTGAATGTGGTAGTCTCAGTGCTACCCTTGCTGAGATCAATGGACACTTCCAACTGGAAATGTTTTAAAGGCCAAGCTTTGAA